TAGAGTATAACTTTAGCGTCGATGATGCTGCCATCGTATCGGCTATATAACGCATCAAAGATACCAGATGACCTCGATCTCTACAATCCGACACAACTCAAAGAGATCCAAACTAGATGTGCAAATATCATTGGTACTCACGGCCACAGAACAGAGGATTGCCGACAGTTGAGGGAGGAGGTATCCTAGTTATTCAACAACGGACATCTTTGAGAATTCCTGAATGACTGAGCCAAGAATCATTTCAGAAATAGTGACTCTAATAAACAAGCCAAGTAGGAAGAACCTCAACGCGTCATCCACATGATCATCAGAGGGTTCGACGCTCCTCAAGGTCCGATGTTAAAAAGCACCAAAGTATCCATCACAAGGGAGAAATAGACTCGAGATTACATACCAGAAGGAACTTTATCTTTCAGCGATGAAGACGCAGAAGGAATCATGTAACCCTATAACGATGCACTTGTAATATCTGTACTCATGAATAAATATCGAGTTAAACGTGTGTTAATTAATCCAGGTAGCTCGGCCAACATCATTCAACTCAGAGTCATAGAACAACTCGGCCTATAGGACCAAATAGTGCCTGCAGCCCGAGTGCTAAATGGATTCAACATGGCTTGTGAAACTACTAAGGGAGAAATAACAATAACGGCAAACGCCGTCGGGACCATTTAGAAAACCAAGCTTTATGTGATTGACGGGTACATGAGGTACAACGCCCTGTTCCGGAGGCCATGGATCCATAACATGAGAGCAGTGCCCTCAACTCTTCACCAGGTGTTAAAATTTCCAATGTCAGGAGGGGTTAAAACGATTTATGGCGAGCAACCGACCGCAAAAAAAATGTTTGCAGTCGAAGAAGTGATTCCAAAACCAACACTAGTGACCTCAAAGGAACCAAGTTCGAATACAAAACAGGAAACTAAATAGCAATTATCGACATCAGCCTCGACCCAATCAGATAAACATGGGACCGATGAAGACGATGATTACCAAATACCAGAAAATGAGTAGGATTACTACTTATTTTCCACGAAAAATATTTTTCGTTATACCAAACACACCCTTAGTGTCTTTATTATTTCATGCAATAATGAGTATTATTCTATATTTGTAACAGTTTGATCATTACTCACCCGTCATAACCACTTGATTCCATTTACCTATATATACACACATTCTTTATATACATACATTCTTTCTGGTGTGGTAGATACTAAGTATACAGAAAATACTCTCCTTCCTTCTGCTGGATTTTCTACCAAGCTAAATAAATCTTTGTTAGTTTATGCTCCTAGTTTTATACTAGAAGGACTTGTTGAATCCTGGGGGATACACCCAAATCGGGGGAAATAACCTTAAGGAGAGTGTTTTTGACACGCCTCAGGCTTTGAAGAGTTTCCTACAGGTTTCGTGATGAAGTATTTTCCATAAGATTTACAATAATCTTAAGGATATTTCACCCGATGCTATGGAGAATATCAATTTTGGAATCTCGAGAGCAGTAGATGATAGATGAACAAATATTATGATTATACCGTTATCATATATTATACTTTGGCATAAACGCTTGGCAAATGTATTTTCAATTTCTTACACTATCACATTATGAAGATTAAAATACACCATAAAATTAAGGTACACTTTTTCTAGTATTTGAATGCACCTAAGCCTACATAAATGTACACTTTTATGTTATTCATTTTTGAAAATCTTGATAGCTCTAATATAATGGGTTTAAATTTATTCTTCAATTTCAACAAATTTACGTTTTGAATTTGGTGTGTTACAAATAAAAGCTTGATTATTTCATCTCAGTTATATAAGTTCTTTGCTAATTCTATGAGAATAAAGAGTGAATAATTTACTATACATGATGATCATTCATGTCAAATAGAATTTGATAGAAGGGAAGATGATGATTAATGTATTGATTTTATAAATATCCTTCGTATTAGTTTGATAGAAAAAATAGATAAGATAAGACCTTCTTATTCTTGTGACTTATTGGGTGAAGCTATGTTATTAACTTGTTATTTATAAATAGGTAGAACTCTTTATGAGTTGTGAAAAAATTATCTCCTTAACTTGAAATTTTTAAAAATACTGGGGTTCGTGGTGTTTCTAAGCAGAAAACATTTAGGAAAATTTGTTTGTTAAAATTATAACGAGACCTTACAAAATTGAGATTATTTGTGGAAAAATTTGTATTGGAAGATCAGAAATATGTTGTATTTCTAGATTTGAAAAGTTATTTTATTTTGGGTCTCTTGGTTATTTGGGTAAAAAAATTATTGAATTATGATTTGTTGCCTACTTCAGATATTTTTATAGACGTTAAAGTTGCTTCTATGTTTGAAATTTTTTACTTTGGTATTTGAATATGGAAGATACCAAAAGAAAATATATGTGTTAAAGATGTTTCAAAAGGCATTTATATAGAAGTCAAGTTTCATTTTATTTCAGATGATTTTGTGCCTTACTCGGGAAATACTATGAGTTAGTATTCTGTATCTAGATTTTTTATTGTATTAGAAGGATACAATGATAATATTGAATCTTTGATTCAGATGATAAAATGTTCACTAGTGATTGTGTGATCACCTTTTGGTGGGGTGTTGTGATATTGAAATTGCCTAACAATGAAGCTGATTAAGCAACCTCTTGGTGAGTGTTCCACTAGGAATTAAGCTGATAATATTTATGTCAATGAATTGTGATTGCCAAGGTGCAATAGCCATTGTAAGAAAATAAATTTTTTAATGGGAAGAGTAGATATATTCTCTTGAGACATAATGTGATAAAGCAATTGCTTGGAGATGAGAATTTTTTTTATATATATTATGTGTAGTCAAAAAAGGATTTGACCGATCCTTTGACTTATAAGTGAAACAACGAGGGATTGAGACTTTTGCCAATTTGAGATGTATCAACAATGATGGTAACCCAACCTATGTGATTGGAGATTCCATGAAGTAGATTCATATGGGTAATAACAAGTCATTAGTTGATCAAATATGCACTATTAAATTATGTCTCTGCCTATGGTGTGTGTGTGTATATAGTGCAAGACTGCAAGGAATGTGAGGTGGAGTTATTATACTCTTAATCCAATAATCCATAGCCTTTTGTAGGTGGTATGTTGCGCTGCAGAATACACTTGATAGATAGATCTATATGAGTGTGGAGTGGGGTCGTTCCAATAAAATTTATGGGAAATTTTCTAGAGCACTCATGAAAACCAGGCTGGCGCATAGCCTTTTAGGGCAAAACCGCGATAACGACAAAGATTATGCGAGTATATGTGATAGATATGACTCTGGGCTTACAAAAGAATTTTTGGTTCATAGAAGTATTAAACTTCACCAATTATTCTATAAGCTTAATCTTATTTTTCTAGGTTTGGTTTATAGTCTACGGACTACGAGACGTCAGATTCGATGCATTGTACTCATATGTAGAAAATCTGGCACAATATTCTATCCTTCTATTCCTTTTGAAATATGTGGGGAATTGTTAGAAAAATAGTGAATATGGTATCTCAAAAGGAAGTGTCAAGAATCATATTTCTGAAAGTGTCTAGATTCATTTTATTAACATTTAATGTCTTTATTATTTCATGCAATAATGAGTCATTATTCTATATTTGTACCCGTTGGACCATTACTCACCCGTTATAACTACTTGATTCCATTCACCTATATATATACACACATTTTTTATATACATACATTCTTTCAGGTGTGGTAGATACTAAGTTAGCGTTTGGCCATAAATTCCCAAATTTATTTTGAAAAAATTGATTTGGGTGAAGTTTGGTTTGAAGATGAGAATGTGTTTGGATATCAGTTTTCAAAACATATTTCCCAAATTTATTTTGGAAAAACATGAAACATATTATACCCACAAGTTCTAAAAACTATCACAAATGTCCAACAGTATCATTATCAATAACATTCATTATATTATCGCAAATCATAGTCCTAAACATAAATAAGTTTGGTACAAAATTATCATTTTTATAATGAACTATATGATACACTATCAGATGACCGAGAAGACGAAGCGACATTGTTACAAAATAATAAATGGTGTGCTCTTTTATAAAATACAAAAAGTTGGGGCAATTTTAAAAAAAAGTAATAGTGATATTTTGGCCCAAAACCGGCTATTGAGCTGGTTTTGGGATTTGAGATTTTGCCTCAATGTAGGCAAAATCTATGGCCAAACATGTGTTTGATAAACCCAAATTTATTTTGGCAAAATCTATGGGCAAATACTCTCCTCCCTTTTGCTGGATTTTCTACCAAACTGAATAAATCTTTGTTAGTTTATGCTCCTAGTTTTATGCTAGAAGGGCTTGTTGAATACTAGGGATATACCTAATGGGTGATATAACCTAAAGGATAGTGTCTTTGACACGCCTCAAGCTTTGAAGAATTCCTCACAGATTTCGTGATGAAATATTTTCCCTAAGATTTACAACACTACTATAGACATTTACCCTTACAAATACTGCTGCTTTTAATCCTTCCAAATGTTATAATGTTGGAAGTTTGTTTCTTTTTATCTTTTTGGTCACCTTTATACATTGATGAACACACCATCCAACTCCTAGTATACGTCTACCACCAAATTAGGCTTTAGCTCTGCCCTTGCCTAGAACTTAGAAGGTCTTAAGAATGCCAAAAGATCCTTTTACTCTCATGGCCAAAGGCTTGGCAACATATAAGAGGAAGGTGAATTAGGGTGTACATAAACTTTAGGTGAAAATTACACAGTCCCTTGTTTAGAAACATATTTCGAAATAACTTCACATGCACCTAAAGAGACATACAAAAAGCAACAGGTTGTTCTTTATACTCAAACTGCCATCAGCTTCTGTAGCTTTTCTATTTGTAGCATATGCAAAGAGTCTCTTGAACAAAATGCCAAACTTATATTCTCTTAACCATTTGTTGAAGAGTGGTATTTGCCAAAACAATAGACACACTAAATATTTCAAACAAGTATAATGATGATAACCATACTTGCTCCCTTATCATTTCCAAAGTTAAAACATATAAACAAATTATAGTTACAACTACAGCTATCAGGATGAAAAAGCCAATGAAACAAAAAATCCCTCCTCCTCTTGATAAATTCACTGCTTCCAAAATGTTAACTAACCAGAAATATCAAAAAGAAGAACAAGCATATCTTAATATTAGGTTCGAGAATGCCCAGTGGACGGCACAAGCACAGCTTCATTACTTGTAGAATTTTTGGCAGCAACATCTTCCAATCGTTTCCATGTAGCTTCACGTCTTGATTTAATCTCATCTTCCTTTAATTCGTCTTCCTGAAACTTGTGCAAGCACTCCTTGAATAACTCAGGATCAAGATCATAGAATATCTTCCGAATATTCAGCGACAAACTGTGAACAGCCTGATTCCAATGGTTTCTGCCATTTCTCTCCAGTGCAGGAAAGATGATAGGCAGTATCACCTTTCGATTTTGCTTTATCAAATTCTCAATGTGATCGTTGTTCCACAAAAACAAAGCCCTTTCTGCCACCTATAGTCAACACAAACACTAACTCTTCTAAATCCGCAAATTTGAAAATCAATCAGAGCAAGCAAAGCAAAAGTATATTCAGAATGCTTGTATACAAGGTTCTTTTTTTTCGTGATAAATGTATACAGGTTTTTTCCAAATTAAATCCTGTAGCAACATGATAAACTCACGACTCAAGTTCCTGGTCTTCTTCTCATTCTAAACATTCTATGAGTTCACAAGTAGAATATATGTCAATCAAATATGTCCACTAACTCACTGCGGAAAACATCAAATAGCTGTTTTTTCTGAAGAGTCCTGAAACGTTCATCCATTTTAAGAAAAACCAAAATAAATATAAAGGAACTTCTATATACATCAATCTTTATAGCAATTAGCCGTGCGATGTTAAGAATCAATAATTGAAAAAAAAAATTAAAAAATTAAGAGGATGAGGAGAAGAAGATAAAACAGAAGAAGAATTAGAAAAAGAAATTGCACTTTTGCTCCCTCAATTTACACAATGCTCCAATCCTGACATTCTGAATCCCACTAAGCATATTTAAGTTTCGATTAACTGACACATAACCTTTTGGTCGGTTAGTAGAGGGACCAAAAGGTGAGCTAGCTCCAAGAAACACATCATCAAAACATAAAGCAACATGCATCAACATGCAGCTAAACTGCCTGGCTTCAGTTCCACTTTAATGAAAAGTCTTATCATTCTTTTGTAACACAGCATTAATATTACTCAAGCATAGACAGATTTGTACGTCCCCACGACAGCATGGCTTTCTCAAAGTAACTTACACAAGGTATGTTTTTATTTCTACCAAGAATTTTTACATGAGGTAATTGTCATGAATTTATCGAAGCTTCAATTGAAAAAAAAACCCTACTTTTGCAATATCTCCATTTAATTATCATAATCAATGTTCTCTGTAATACAATCATCCACACTGTATCCACTCCGTACACCACTTCAAATTCTCCCCAAGTTAGCCACAGTAATACTGTACATTGAGCTTGCTATTTGCATGCACCTCGACTATTCCACCGGGTACTTGCCACCTTTTACTAACACAGGTACCTAGTTACTCTACTGACCAAGGCTTAAGTAGATGGGATTTAAACAATGGTTTCCACGGTTTGCACCCACTTTATTGACCATCAGGCCACACACTTCGGTGCCCCAAGTTGTAGCCACATAATCTGAATTAAATCTTCTTCCTTTTGCTATCTAGAGGAACTATTTCTTCTTTGCTATAAGTAAAATTTGTATTATTAATTGAATGGAGTATTATTTAATTTGTTGATAAATTTGTACAAAATCCCTTTAACAGAGTAATTTACTCAAACTAAGCCTGACCCAACATTATTCTCTCCTCCTTTTGGCTTCCATTGCTACCACTCCAATCATCAGACTTCCACAAAGAATTTCCAAAAAAGAGGTTCAGTACACATCTTACACCCTCTTCTTCCAGTCAATTCTGCTGCTGCTACTCCTATTATAGCTTATCTGTATAACTGCCCTCAGATTGAAGGCCTTAAATGAAAGAAAATAGAATTTTGAAAATGCTTTGTCTCACTAGCCTATGCACAACAGGCACCTTGACAGTGTAGAGTGATAGTATTCAAGAGAAATAAGTCATGTTTATGACTTGTACAGCATATTTGTTTTCAAATTTTTTCCCATTACCACTCTCACATGAATTAGGAATGAAGCACAAAAGTCATCTGTGTTGAACATTAAGTGTACCATGATCAAAGATCCTAGCGGACCATGCTTCCGCAAGATTAAGTGAATAGAGGTTTTCATGAACAGGTGATAAGAAATTCATCTAATTCTTTTCCAAGCAATATTACTGTGTTTGGTTATTATACAATCAATACTGCACACGGATTAATACTGCACACGGATTACTGTGTGGAAATAAAAATATTCATCGATCACAAGTCCGAATACCTTCTGAAAACTAAATGCTACCTTTTGCTACTATTGGCTAATTTGTACTCCCTCCGGTCCAAAATAAGTGATTTTTTGGCCTTTTTCTTGTGGTCCAAAATAAGTGATTTTTTCAGATTTCAAGAATGAATTAATTATTTTCTTCCTACATTACCCTTGGAGTAATTAATGTTGGAGTATGTGTTAGGAGTGTTTATGTGAAGAGATAGTAAAGGTTAATATGGTTAATTTCATTGCTAATTAATGTTAAAAGGTGAATTTCTTAATATGTGTGAAAACAACCAAAAAATCACTTATTATGGACCGGAGGGAGTATTGGATAGATCTGAGCTATCAATTGTTTTACTTTGTCCTCATATCAACAACAACAACAAACCCAGTATGTTCCCAACAGGTGGGGTCTGGGGAGGGTAGTCTGTACGTAGACCTTACCCCTACTTTGTCCTCATATCACATTACAGAATAGACAATAGTGCAATACAACCATATCTACAAAGTGTGGTGGCCGCCAGGGTTTAGCTCAATTTGCAAAGGTTGAGGGACTTGTATCTTAAGTCAAAGGTTTGAGGCCTGTGCTAAGAGAACTAACTCTCGTATTTAAGTGGAGAAGAGTATAGGGGCGAGCCCATCATCCCCGAATTTAGAAGGCTACGGGTGGCCCAAAAGGTCAACTCCAGATAGATTTCTCAATCATAAAAAAAGAATATGGTGAAGTGAAACGATGGTAAGATGCATTGCATAATAGGAGTGCATAGAAAGATAAACATACTTCAAGCCAGATCAGACAACCAGAAGAACTAATCAGAAATTTTTCCACGGAGAATAATGCAGAACTTGAAGAAATATAGTGTATATTATTTTGTTAATCCGAAAAAAGAAAAAAGAAAAAAGAAAAAGAAAAGTGGGACTAGAGGAAAGTAGCATGTATCTGAGTTTTAAAGGTACAGTATTTCACAGATCATCTATCATTAAAGAGAGAGACTACCATGCATGGAAGAAAAACATCATCCCCCCCCCCCAAACCCAACCCGCATACGCACAAGCTCCACATCTAGTTGATTGTCAGATGCTCAAGTTAGAGTAATCTTTTCATTTTGTCATGCTATTGTAATGTATAATCAACCAGCCAACCATAGCTGCTTCAATGACCAAATTTTTGAGGAATGAACAGCAAGACTAGTATTGCTACAAGACCACCAAAAGTTCAAGCACCTCAAATAAATGGCAAATTACGACTTCGCATCTTCATGCTATTCCTCAGCACTAAAAACGGCAAGTACAACCAAAAGGGGCTAACTTTTTCAATCTAATAAAAATGTCTTACAGTGAAAATCCAAAGATCCGACATCAGTATCATGCTATTGCCAACAATTTTTTTTGTTTTTTTGCGAGAGAGAAAGGTAACTGTAATATAAAGATAGCACTAAGTGCTGTAGTAATTACAAGTGAGCAAAAAAACAAAAGAGAAAATACTTTCCAGTCTTACAGGGATTCTAAGAGGCTAAGTATGGAAGCTGTTGCACAACTTTAACCTCAATGCATAAATGGTTGCACATCGAACAGATGGAAATGAAGACATGCGTCATTCTGCATGCAGCAGTAGCAGTGGCAAAGAAGAATTCTCTAGGATTCATCACAGTTTTACATGTGCGGAAAAATCACGCGGCAGTAAATGGTGCGTCCAATATATGTTGTTTCAATATTTTGAAATCTTTAATCGTCATTGATCATTTTTTATGGGAATGATCAGGTTCCTTTTTCAATAAGTCCTTCATGAGCAAAAGTAAAATCCACCATCATCAGTGAATAAAAAGGCTTATGACACATAAAAGTACAACTCATCTCAGCACAAGATAGAAACAAGGGGAAAAATTCTCTGCCAATTAACAGGAATTGGGATGAAAAAGGGGGCACAAGCTCAAGTCTTCCTGCCCATTTTCTCTTTGATGTTGATTTTTTTTTTCTCTATTCAAAGAATCGTGAGTTGAGCTTAATTGAAGCAGCAAGGATTCATATAGCTGATCCCAACTTGTTTGGGACTGAGGCGTAGTTGTTGTTATTTAAAGAATCAGAACTATATTTCATTTTTTATACTTCATCTTACTAGTTCTATTGCAGAAGCGAACTACCAGCATTTCAGATCAATTTTTATGCTTAAGTTAGTTTTTTCTTTTAAATTTTCATGAAAGTAATGCATTACTACAGAAGATACTGAATACAGTACATCCTGATCAAGAGCCTTTGAAGCTCCTGTACATCGGCATCTGGTTTGTATGCTAAAGTTAGTTATCAAATTATCATCACTCAACAAAGCAATATAAGGTGGAAACTTTTGAAATTTTTGTGTTTTTAGTTGTTCAACAACTATAGTATTCGCTTAACATTTTACAGTATAAACATCCGCCTATCACGTCAGCAGTACAGAATAACAGAAAACTACACAATTATATTCATCTTTCCATGATGGAACTAAACTACATTATAAAATTTGGATTACCAAGCTAGGGTACCATGAATAGGCAGATAATCAACTAAAATAAACTCACCACCACTCCATCTCAAACTCAAGTAGCAGCTCCATAACAGCCTCTGACAAATACTAAATCTATTGCTTAATTTACATAATATTCAAGAAACCAGTCACTACAGAATAAGAGCTTCATTTACCATAAAAAACAAATCCACCTCTGCATTAATTGTGACTTATACACAGACACCACAAGACATGTTGCACATTCACCATTGGAAATTACTAACAAAACTATGAACAACAGTGTGCACTCAAACAATCACAGAATATAAATGCTTCATCCAGGGGGGGGGGGGNGATATTTTTCCGGGACATCAAATACAACCCAAGGATTGTTGGGGGGGGGGGGGGAGATGGTACTCCAGATCATCTCAACCCATCAGAAGAAAACACGCTTTGGCAAGAAAAGAAAAGAAGAAACCGGGAGAGAAGTATTGCACATCAGTTAAATTTTTCTTAGTTTCAATCATTTTCCATTTCTCCATTACCGCCAGACAACACATGACCATCGCAAGCTAGGAAACATAAACATACTGCACGCCACGTCAATCCACAAAGTATATATTAAAACCAATGTTGCCTACAGAGATAAGAAAATAGTGCTGTTCTACGATGCATATATTACATGCATGTACTGGCATGCTTAATAAATAAAAGAAGCATATCCAAAATCCAAATACAACGGACACATACCTGAAAATGCAAACTAGTCAAGCAATGAGCAATTCGACGAAACAATGGCACCATACACCTTTGGAAATCTGGTGGCTGAGTAGCTTCCAAGATTTCCTCCAACTCACCAAGGAACATGACTTCCTTTGAGCTATTTGTTACTGGCCAATACTTTAACAATCCCCTAATAACTGTATCAGCAAGCTTGCAGTCTTTCTCCACAAACTGTGTCATACAATAAGTTAACTGTTGATGGTACATGGCTAAGCATTTGGGTTTATGCAGGGGGATCAGCGTCCGCACAAGAAAAAGCTTGTGTTCTTCTTTTAGTGGCAAAGCAAACCCATTGATTATGCTGCCCAGAATTTCCAGAAGCTCTGCAATCCCATTATGCTTTTCAGTCTCAAAAACGAAACGGTAAAATATGTTATTAATAGCCTTCCTAATATAAGGTCGGTGTACCATGAACTTCCCATAGACACGGTGCAGTATTATTTTCAAGTACTCCCTCTCTCTAGGGTCCTCAGAATCAAAAAGATCAAGCAATCTGAGAACAAAGGAATGATCTGCATATCTTTTAGCAATTTTTGCATCAGTTTCCGGTGATGCAACAAATCTTAGAAGAAACTCATACACAATCTGCAGATGTGGCCATGCAGGATCCATTGCAGGCTCATCCTCTTCCACATCAAAGGCCAACACCTTGTTCTCCCGAGGCTGAGGCATGAGTTCCCTGAACAAATTTGTAGACACCATTTTTACTACTTCTTGCATCACCACTTCTGTAAATTTTACATTTGCAGAAGTCACGTACTCCACGAGCTCCAACAATGTCTGCCGCTTGATCTCCTTTTCTTTAAGGTTCTTTGTAGGATCAGTGAAGTCAAACAAAACACAACACATGCTGAGCTTCCTAATAAACAAGTTCTGCTTCTCAGAATTGGGAACATCCCTAAAATTTGGCAATGCATCATAAGAAGCTACAACCAGATTCCCATTCACCTTAAAACTCCCATCTCGAACAAACTTATCCCCCATTCCATATCCTGAAGCTGAAACAGAATAAGGGGCTGAAATAACAGTACTGGCTGATACTCCAACTTTTTTATTTCCTCCATCACTTTTCTTTGAACTGCTAGTTGAAGAACTTGAACTAGAAGTACCAGCTGTCTTTGACTGCTTCTTAGAGTTCTTTTTGCCAAATATCTTGATCATATTTCTCTTCAATTTGAAACTTTATATAAATAACAAGTAAATACTCAACAGAAAGATCAACCAAAACTGAGTAAAGTCATCAAACCAAAGTAAAATCTTCCACCTCAGCTGAAACCCTCATACCACAAGCTCAGCTTTTCAAAAGGGTCAGCACAAATGATGAAATTACTTCATCAAATAATTCAAGAAATTACTCAGTTACCTACCACCTTCAAGAAAGGGGCTAGAAGGACACTTTTTTCAACTACAAGAAACAGAGGCCCCAATTAATTCAAATAATAAAGAACTAAAATATTGAAAACTATTCAGAACTACAGATCAAGAATTGAGGAATACCTGAATCAACTCAGAGAGAAAAACCCAGTTCCTCAAAATTCAACAACTTTTGCAAAAACCCATGTGTAAAGTTTGAGCCTTTTGACTTAAAAACCCAGATGTATACATGTAAAGCCACTGGAAACAGAAAATTATATCAATAAAAACCTTCAGTATTAAATTCAAGAAAACCCCACCTTTTTCAACTTTGCTCTTCCACTAAACAACCATACCAAATGGGGTTTACAAAATAAAGTATATCCCCACACACGCTCTCTTCACTTTTTCAATAATCCCCAAACACCAAAGATTGAACTTTTAATGAAATTGAAACCCAAAAGACAAAAACAAAAAAAAAAGTGTTTTTTCTTTCTTTTTCTTTGTCACAGTTCAGAAACTGGGAAATGGAGCAGTTATGGAGATGAATTTGGTGAATCAATTTTGGGGTTATTGGATTTTTATTTTTTTATTTGTTATTTTTGGTGTTGATTGTTGACTGGGTAAATTATTCTTGGAATTGTATTTGTTTAGCGTGTGCATTCTGACTCGGACCAAACGACCAAATAGTATCCTCTAATTCTCTATACTTTCTTAATTGGTAATTCGGTACAAGTCAAATGCCCAAACCGGACGGAATATGTTATGATTATTGAGATGTTTAAAATATTTACTACAGTATATTATTTACAAAAAGAAAAATTAAGCAGAAAATAATCACAATAACCCTTTTGCTATGTATATACAAGTCCAAGTTAAACAAGGCTATCTACTATGCAAGCCCACCTCTTTTTGTTAAACCCTATGTAGTGAAAGATATGAAAAGGCACACTACTTTCGTTAAGTACCTAGTTGAAAAAGGCTGTAATATCTTAGCCAGTTTGGGTAATCTTAATGTCCTGGATGACTAAGAAAATCTATCATTTTAACACTGAAAAAAACTAGAAAAGAGGAAGAGTCATTAAGACAATAGAGCTATAGGTAAGCAAGCAAAAAAGATAGGTGCGAAAAGGAGAGGCAAGGGGCTCTCCATCTCTAGGAATTGTGTCTAGGATCTGGGATTCGAATTCCCTTAGGGGTATGGGTACTACGAAAGGAAGTTGATCACGGAGAGAAGGGTCTTTGTCTGGTTCAGTTTCACTGTTAAAATCTCCCAGTAGAATCGAATAGTAAGTGAATTATTCCAATAGTTCTGAAGGTTTTGGGCCTGTAGCTTTACCCGTCCCCTCCCCCCCTCGGACGGTGCTTGTGTGGAGGGTGCGCCACCTGAAATTGAGCTTGAAGCTCTCACCTTATCAACAAGGCGAGAGCTGATGGCTATTTGTCACGATTCGGATTTCCCTCCGTCGGGACCGTGATAGCGCCTACCATTGTACTCGCTAGGCAAGCCACGTTACACAATATTTCACATTTTTCCTTTATTTTTAATGATTAAAACTTAACAAAAGTAAATCAGCGGAAATAAATGCGGAAGAACATAGTTTAAAAGATTATCTTTATGATAATAACGAAAACCGAAATAAATTCCACCCAAAACTGGTGTCACAACTCACGAACAGTCTACAAATACTATAAATAATGGTATAAATAAAAAGTTTACATCTGTCTCGAAAGTAGATAAAACAGAAATGAAGTAGGATAGAAGGGGAAGCCAGGGCTTACAGATGCATGCAGGACTACCTTGGGTCTCCGGAATGCAGCAACAACAACCAACCTCTCGATCAGCCACTAGCTCCGAAATTTGCACAAGAAGTGCAAAGTGAAGTATCAGTACAACCGACCCATGTACTAGTCAGTGTTGAGCCTAACCTTGACGAAGTAGTGACGAGGCTACGGCTGGGCATCACAACATATACAACATGCAACAGTTTATACAAAAACGGAAAGGAAATACGGAATGAAATATAACAGAAACTTGTATTAAATGAATACGGAAATCAGCCGTTCTACCAGTACTCAGCTATAACCAATCTTTAGGGAGTTTCAACATCTCAGTAATGAAATTCAGCAGAAATGAATACTAAAACAATAACTGATGCGGCGTGCAACCCGATCCCACCAGACAATCACACTCACCCTTATTCCTCTTATTGCGGCGTGCAACCCGATCCCAATATATATATCATCACCAATCACAAAAATAAAGACAAATGTTTCACAAGTTAACTCTAATTTTCCACAGCACTTATACCTCAATCCACACAATGGAATATCACTACGATTATGAAACTTCACCAGTTAAAACTACACAGCGAGACCAACTAAAGTATACCATGGAACACCAATAACCCAATATAAGCGAAAAGGGTAATAAAACGAAACCATGAAACAAATAAATACTCAATAAAGAAAATAACAGTTAATATGAAGCAATTAGACATGGAAATATTTATGAACAAGTAGCAATTAAGACAGGAGAGCAATATATAGGGAAACGGGGAAGGGAACAGGCTAAAATGATAATTTGGTGGCGCATAGGTACTCGTCACCACAGCTATACACCACACACATGGAATTTCACAAAGCAAATAAGGCGGGGACCCCTAATCCCTCAAGTCAAGGTTAGACCAAATATTTACCTCAATCCAACGGGTATTTCAAAGCTCAATCACCGCTTTACCTCTCGATTCCACCACCAATTCACTCATATCTAATCATAATTAACTTCATAAAATCAATAAATGCTAAATAATTCAACTCCAATGCATAATTATAGGTTTTCTAATTTTTCCCAAAAAGTCAAAAACCTGACCCCAGGCTTGCTTGGTCCAAACTCGAAATTCGGACCAAAATTCGATTACCCATTCACCCTCGAGCTCAGATATACAATTGGTTTTGGAATCCGACCTCCAATTGAGGTCTAAATTCCCAATTTATAAAAATTCCTAATTCTACCCAAACTCCCAATTTTTACCATAGAAATCTTAGATTTTTAGTTGGAAATTCAAGAAATATGATGGGAAAGTGTAAGAAAGTGGGTTAGGATCACTTACCAAAATTTTGGGGAAGATTTGGTCTTGGGAGAATCGCCTTTAGGGTTTTAGGATTTGAGAGATGTGAAAAATAGGTGCAAATCTCATCTAAGTCCCAACTTAACAGCTGCAGATATCACAATTGCGACTGGAGCTTCGCATTTGCGAAGCTCGCAATTGCGAGAAGGACATCGCAAATGCGAATCTTCGCAATTTCTGCTGCCTTCGCAAATGAGAACCATTTGGTCGCAAATGCGAAGTCCCCCCTGCCCTAACAACTTCGCAAATGCGAGCACTGGACTTCACAGCTACTCTTCGCAATTGCGATGAGTAGGTCGCAAATGCGAACCCAACAGTGGTCGCAAATGCGAGGCTTGATCTCGCAATTGTGAGATCATAGGCTCTGCAACAAAACTGAAACACACCAACAAAACCTCTAAGCTCAAAACACTCCGTAGCTTACCCGAAACTCACCCGAGCCATCGGGGCTCCAAACCAATCATGCACACAAGTCTTAAAACATCACATGAACTTGCTCGCGTGATCAAATCGCTAAAATAACATCTAGAGCTATGAATTCAACACCAAAACTCATGAAATTTTCAAGATAGTTCAAAATTTCTAACTTTTCAACCAAAGGTCCAAATCACGTCAAATCACTTATGTTTTTCATCAAATTTCACAGATAAGGCTTAAATACCATATTAAACCTGTACTGGGCTCTGGAATCAAAATACGGGCCCGATAACAACAAGTTCAAACGTTGTTCCATTTCTGAAAACCATTATATTTTTAGTTAAACAATTTTCTTCAAAAATTCATTCCTCGGGCGAGGGACCTCAGAATTCGATTCCGGGCATACGCCCAGGTCCCATATTTTACTACGGACCCTCCGAGATTGTCAAAACATGGGTCCAGATTCGGGTCCGTTTACCCAAAATGTTGACCGAAATCAACTAAAATCATCTTTTAAGCCAAAAATCATCGTTTCTTAAATTTTTCACACAAAAGCTTTCTGCTATCGGCTTCACATATCGGACTCAGACTCCTAGGTAGCTTCCTCAATAGTCTGACCTCTCCATTGCACACGAACCGCAGGGTAACTCTTTGATCTCAACTAACGAACCTATCAGTCTAGAATAGATACCAACTCCTCCTCGTAGGTCAAATCCTTATCCAACTGGACAGTGCTGAAGTCTAACACGTGGGATGAATCGTCGTGATACTTCTGAAGCATGGACACATGAAACACTGGGTGCACAGCTAATAAACCCGGCGGCAACGCAAGTCTATAAGCCACCTCTCCCACTCGATCAAGGATCTCAAAAGGCCCAATGAACCTAAGGCTTAGCTTGCCCTTCTTCCCAACTTTCATCACGCTCTTCATGGGCGACACCCGAAGCAACACTCGCTCTCCGACCATGAATGCCACATCACAAACTTACGATCGGCATAACTCTTTTGTCTGAACTGAGTTATACGAAGTCTATCCTGAATGATCTTAACCTTATCCAAGGCATCCTGTACTAAATCTGTACACAATAACCGAGCCTCTCCCGGCTCAAACCATCCAACTGGAAATCGATACTACCATATAATGCCTCATAGGGAGCTATCTGGATGCTCGATTGATAACTGTTATTGTAGACAAACTCCGGGTAACGGCAAGAACTGATCCCACGAATCTCCAAAGTCAATAACACATGCTCGGAGTATATCCTCCAAAAATCTGAATAGTACGACCGGACTGTCCGTCCGTCTGAGGATGAAATACTATGCTCAACTCGACCCCCGTACCCAACTCACGCTGCACTACCCTCCAGAAATGTGAGGTAAACTGCATACCTCAGTCAGAAATGATATACACGGGCACACCATGAAGACGAACGATCTCACGGATGTAGAACTCTACCAACCGCTCCGAAGAATAGGAAATTGCCACATGAATGAAATGCGTTGACTTAGTCAGCCTATCCATAATAACCCACACTGCATCAAACTTCCTCTGATTTCGTGGGAGTCCAACAACGAAGTCCATAGTGATACGCTTCCACTTCCATTCAGGAATCTTAATCTTCTGAAGCAAACCACCACGTTTCTGATGCTCGTACTTTACCTGCTGACAATTCAAACACCAAGCTACGTACGCTACATTGTCCTTCTTCATCCTTCTACACCAATAGTGCTGCCACAAATCCTGATACATCTTAGCGGCACCTGGGTGAATGGAATTCCGGGAACTATAGGCCTCCTATAGAATTAACTCACGAAGTCTATCCATATTAGGCACACAAACACGACCCTGTATCCTCAAAACTCCATCATCTCCAACTGTAACCTGCTTGGCACCACCGTGCCGCATTGTGTCCCTAAGGACAAGCAAATGAGGATCATCATACTGCCGATCTCTGATACGCTCAAATAATAAAGACCGAGCGACTGTGCAAGCTAAAACACGACTGGGCTCATAAACATCCAACCTCACGAAGTGATTGGCTAAAGCCTGAACATCCAAAGTAAGCGGCCTCTCACCGACCGGAATATACGCAAGACTGCCCATACT